TCTCACAGCAAACCCTCAGCCCTGCAGGAGCCCCTCATGGAGTACATCACATCATCCCCATCCCGGAGACCAGAACAGAACTATGCTCCCCAGGGTGTTCCTGGGTTGGATCAAGGAGACACTACATGGTTCAAAATCAAGAAAGGGGCTTGTCAGGGATGTATTCTGTCTCCATACCTTTTCAATCTGTATGCAGAACAGATCATCCAAGATGCTGGGCTATACAAAGAGGAATGTGGCATCAGGATTGGTGGAAGAATCGTCAACAACCTGCGTTATGCAGATGACACAACCCTGCTTGCTGAAACTGAGGAGGACCTGAGGCGCTTGCTGCAGAAGATCAAGGACTACAGCCTCCTATATGGACTGAAGCTCAACATCAAGAAAAAAAAGATTCTAACCACTGGGCCAATTGGCAGCATCAGCATGGATGGTGAAGAGTTTGAGATAGTTAACAGTTTTCATTTACTTGGCTCCACAGTCAACACTCTTGGTAACAGCAGCCAGGAAATCAGGAGAGGAATTGCATTGGGAAAGTCGGCTGTGAGGGACCTCTCAAGAGTACTGAAGAGCAATGATGTCAGGCTGAGGACTAAGGTGCGCCTGATCTGGGCTATAGTCTTCACAATTATGTGCTATGCATCAGAGAGTTGGACAGTGAATAGGGTTGATAGAAAGAGGATTGATGACTTTAAGCTGTGGTGCTGGAGACGAGTGTTGAATATACCAAGGACTGCTAGGAGAACAAACAGGTTTGTCCTGGAGAGGGTGAAGCCAGAGTGTTCCCTGGAGTCAAGGATTCTGAAGCTTCATCTGACATATTCTGGGCATGTTGCAAGGAGGGACTGGTCCTTGGAAAGGGACATCATGTTTGGCAGAGTGGAGGGGCGGTGAAGTAGAGGAAGACCTTTGATGAGATGGATCAATTCTGTGGAGCGGTGGGAATAAGTGCATTTGAGATGGCTAGGTTGGCATAGGATAGAACAGCATTTAGAGCTCTTGTACACAGGGTCGCTATGAGTCGCAAGCGACTCGATGGCACATGACAACAACAACAAGGTTACCAGAACACCCCTGGGTGGACCCGAACTTCCAGCCTTTCCATTAGCAGCTGAATTTACCATTTACCCCCGTTAGTAAGTCACATCAGCTATAAACACATCTGTTGAGGATAATTAAAGTTTTCTGTGAGCCTTCCAGGATCCCAGCTTCCAGTTGCGCTCCTCCTTACACACTGAGTCCGCATGACCTTGGCTACCCTCCAGCACTTACACATTCACTGCCTGTACAGGTCCTTTCCCTTCCGGACTGTCAGAGGGGCCTTACAAACTATACCTCTCGACTTCCTTAAAGAAAATGTGGATTGTTACCACTTCAGCTCCAACTCCTGTCTGTGAGTCATTTTCCTTTTATGCACTAATTTTTCCCAGATCAGAACATCTCATTTTCATCTGCCAATTCTTTAATGTGGCATGTATACAAACAGAAATTTTTGCCATCTCTACTTAACTATCTCTGGACATTATGTTTCCTTTACAATATAATTTTAACAGGAATCTCCTGCCAGAAAAGCTCTCTACTTACAATGTTCAATAGACAGTTAATTTGATAAGACACACTCAGATAGATATTCAGACACTGAGCCCACAATCAGATCTTAAATCTCATTATCCCCAACTCTCCCACAGATATGCAGTATGGCCTCATAGAAGCCATGCAATGTCTCTGAGCTCTTGTTTTCCCAGCAAAACCACAAAACAATGGTTAAGGTCTTTTCTTGATCTCAGGGGGGGAAAAACTTCTGGCTAGAGAACTTTTAAAATGTCTAAAAGTCCTAAGACAGACTTCTCAACAAAGTATAGTGCAAAACTATCTCCTGTCTCCTGACAGTGACTATTACGGACACATGGGAGCCCTAGTGACATAGAGGGTTACATATTGACAGGTTCAAATCCACCCTAAGGGAGAAAGATGCAGCAGTCTGCTCCCACTCAGCCTCGGAAACTTAATAGAAGGTCACCATGAGTCAGAACTAACTCAGAAACAATGGGTTTATTCTGATACATACATGTATAGGTGCTGGTAAGGATTAAATGACATTTCCCAAAAACATGCTGTAATACTAACTCCTATATTTATGGGTGGTGGTGGTGTTATTGTATACCATAGAGTCGGAACCGGCCCATAACTGACTCTCCAGCAAGTTTTCAGAGGCAGTTAACCGCATGGGAGGAGAATGCCCATCCTTCTCTAGCGGAGTGGCTGGTAGCCTCGAACTGCGTGTCTTCTGGATTTCAGCACAGCTTCTTGCCACTAGAGCTCCCTATTTGTGGATAGTATGCACCACACTAGTGAGTAAGGAGTTGCTCTTTCAATCCAAAGACAGGGAGTTTGAACCTACTACTTGTTCTGAGGGAAAAGGATGGACAATAGCCTCCAATGGGATTTACAGCCTCTGAAAGTCTGCTGGAGGGTCAGCTATGAGTGTGTTACAATTCAAAGGCAATGAGTAAGGAGTTGCTCTTTCAATCCAAAGACAGGGAGTTTGAACCTACTACTTGTTCTGAGGGAAAAGGATGGACAATATCCTCCAATGGGATTTACAGCCTCTGAAAGTCTGGAGGGTCAGCTATGTGTGTGTTACAATTCAAAGGCAATGAGTAATAGTAGCGTGTTGTTGCTGTAAACTATGGAATCAGAAATGACCCATATATGACCCTCCAGTGAGTTTTTAGAGGAAGTAAATTGCATGGGAATTTATTGCTCATCTTTCTCCCTCGAAGCTGCTGATGGATTTGAACCAATCCCTTTGTGCTGGCCACATAATTCCTTACCATAAAGGCATCAGAGCTCTCTATATTTATGGTATACTTGTGGACATAATCCTATTTGCAAACGAGCTTTTCTTTTTCATATGAACTAGAGCATACCCAAGCAGGCTGGGTTCTAAAGCCAATCACTTTTGAGTTCTAAAAAGCACA